GGATGGATGGATGGATGGATGGATGGATGGATGGATGGATGGATGGATGGATGGATGGATGGATGGATGGATGGATGGAGCATTTTCAGTTTGCTTATGTTGTGCAGCAAACCTGCATGTGCAGGTCTTCATATCTGAGGCCAATATGTAATGGGACGAAAATGTAAAATCTGGAAAAACTCTGTGCTATGCCTCTCTAACTTCTTTAAAATGATCAATAACATACTTGTAGAACAGTTTACTTCTGAATGACTCATTTTGTCCTTTGTGCTTTAAAGTGGATAAACTTTGGCTCAATGCTGAGAATGTTTGGCTCTATAAGGGATGTATCCCCTCACTGAAAAAACTGTCTTGAAATTCATCCTCCATGCACCAAATTCATTTATATTTCCAGATGTCTTAATTACCTTTTGCAAATATATTAAATGTAACACTTTAATATAATTACCAAGGTTTTCAGAAGGTTATGGTAAATGGCCTATACTTATATATGGCGTTGGTCAAGTCAGGAGACTTGACCAAAGCGCTTTACACTACATTCAGTCAGTCACCCATTCCGCACACACTGATGGTAGCAAGCTACACTGTAGCCACAGCTGCCCTGGGGCTCACTGTCAGAAACGAGGCTGCCGTACACTGGCCCCACTGGGCCCTCTGACCACCACCAGTAGGCAATGAAGGTGAAGTGTCTTGCCCAAGGACACAACAACACTGAAAGCCGGTGCCGGTGCTTGAACCGTCAGTCCTTCAATTTCAGGGCAAACTCCTACACCCGACGCCCCTGTCGCCAGACTAATGTCTATAAATAAAGTGTTTACAATTTCAGTTTAAGTGCCATTACATAGATTTTATATGAATGGTATGTGCTAAGTAACACTGCCTCATATTCTAGATTCAGCTTCATTACCACTGTTGCATCATCTCTAAATTCCTGTCACAATATTTCCCTTCAATCTATTTACAATGTCTAATGACTAAGAAAGGCACACTAAGCTGTGACTCATGAGGTTTTTCTCTTTAATGTTCATTGCCACTCCTCCTCTTGACCCACATTTACTTCACTGGTTTATCAACTGGGAAAGTATGTATGAACACTTCTTGAAATATTTATGTTTAGATAGTGGGGGAGAAGCAGTGAAAAACTAAGACTAACAGTATGAGGCAGATATCTACAATGTTTTGTGTGTGTTGTTTGCCAGTCACTGTGAAGTCACATGCTCATAATCTTTAAACACACACATGCTGTTACATTTCTGCTGGTCTCAGGAAAATTTTTTTTTTTTTTTTTTTAGGTGAAATTAACACATTTCAGGGATCTTTGACTCATATTATATCCTGCTGGTAGGGTTGGGGCAGGGTCTTGTCTCAAGCATTAAAATGTTCATCACTTACTGGCAAATACGCTTTCACTCTTTGTCCGTACTATTGTTGTGGGCAGGAAATAGTGTGTGAGGGTCCCATGGTAGTTTAGGTATGAGGCTACAAGGCAGGATGTGGTGGGGATTTAAAAAAATATGTTTAAAAAATCTTAACTTTTTGAAAAATCCCACCTTTAAAGTGAAGACATTCTTTCAGAGAGAGACCCTTAATACTTCTACATCCTTAAAGTTCAATAAAATGTTTAAGAAGACTTAATTACTAATCAATGACTTTGTGTATTTTGGGGGGCAGAAATATGGCAAACATGCCCAGTTTCTTTAAGTAACTTCGAAATGTTAAAGACAATAAAACATGATAAAAGATAAAGCAGTTCTATCTCTACAGGTAAGAAAATGTGCAGGAAATAGATCACTTAAATGTACTGCTATCTATCAACTAGGGGCTGAAATAATTAATGAAAATTAATCAGGATTATTAAAACACAATTAGCTAATGATTATTTCAATAATCATTAGCTAATTTAGTAATCAATTATTCGTTACTGTATTATTGAGACTCTAAACCATGCCTTTAGTTGACAGAGCAACCCACTTAGAGAAGTAATTAAAACAACATTGTAAAAAGATATAACAACTTTTTGCATTTAAGATAAAAAAAATAATAATAATGTCAGCTAAATCCAGAACTCTTCAAGTGGAAAAGTTTGAGTTTCACCTGCTTTAATTTCGTAGAGGTCTTATTTATGGAACCTTTGGCTATCCGATTATTAATCAAAGAATCAATCTACAACTCAATCAATTGGCAAAATAAGCTTTAGTTGCAGCCCTACTACCAACAGTAATCATTTAGAAGCTCTAAATTATGAGAATTGTGGGAAACAATGGTGAACTCTGTCTTGTTACAAGGGCACTATTTACACATAAAGTATTCTAAGTATTCTGAAGTATTCTAGTTTGATTTTAGCAAATATCTTTGCAAACATTTGTCTTTTGGCCTAAAGGTCTGGAACTTTGTAATTACCAAAACAATAAAACAGTTTTTTTCTAGTCTCAAAGCTAAATTTACTTTTTTCTCAGCTATTACAAAAAAGTAAAGGAATTTAATGTGCAAGACATAACTACTCAATTGTTGTTTCTATTGTGCTTTACTTTGCTCCCTGTTTCCTAATTTTATTGGTTTAACCCTCTTTTTGTTGTTATTTCTAGATTTATGTTAGTTCTCATGTTTTTCTGTTGTCCTCTGTTGCCCTCTTGTGTTTGTGTGTGTGTTCCTTTTCC